AAGGTATATGTTACCTTATTTATTACAGAATTTTTCTTTTTTTTTTTTTTTTGAGACAGAGTCTCCCTCTGTCACCCAGGTTGGAGTCGCAGTGGCGTGATCTTGGCTCACTGCAACCTCTGCCTCCAAGGTTCAGGCGATTCTCCTGCCTCAGCCTTCCCAAGTAGTTGGGACTACAGATGCGTGCCACCATGAGTGGCTTTTTTTGTATTTTTAGTAGAGACAGGGTTTCGCCATGTTGCCAAGCTGATCTCAAACTCCTGACCTCAGGTGACCTGCCCACCTCAGCCTCCCAAAGTACTGGGATTACAGGTATGAGCCACCGCACCAGGCCACAAAAATCTTAAAATATAGGTACCATTGCCACTTTGTACGTGATGAAATGTGGCTTGAGGATGTTAAAAAGGCAGAGTGTGTGAATCAACATTAAAACACAGGTTTGCTTAGATCAAAAGTTTATATTTTATATGAGGTTACTTCCCTTTGAAAATGGAAAAGTCATGCTTCCAAAAATGCAATTAAGCAAACAGTTGTATTTTTTTTTTTTACAATTTTGTTTCATTTTATTTAAATAATACTAATAAACTTTTGACATCCTATGTGGTGGTAACTGACAAAAAAATTATTATATTAGCCTCCAAGAGGAAAAGAGGTTGATAAGATATGGCAGGGAAAGAATAAACTCTGTGAAGATGACATTTTGTATATATTTATATATTTAAAGTTAAAAAAAAAGTAAGAGAAAGAGGACTATTAACCATTTCTGCTACTAATAGTCTGTTATGCTCTCTTTAGTTAACAGATACCATCTATTCTAGGAAGAGATGATTCTTATTTTACTTGGCCATATTGACACCGAAGCTGCTCAAGCAAAAATAAAGCAAGCTGTAATAGTAAGCATCGATAACTAAATCAAATTGGCTTTGATTGTAGTTGCCATTGATTTAGGCAAAGGCTAAAGCTGAACTTATAAAAACAAGGAAATGATTGATAGATCTACATAATAAAAAGTCAGAAAATTATACTTTAAAGCAGCTTGAGGGGACATATTACTACTGGATTCTTCCTATTGCTATAACTGTTCAACAGATATTATCAATGACTACAGACACAAGGCTTATTACGTGACAGAAATTCTACCTAAAAGACAAACTCTTAACATCACTGATATATGTAAAAATATTGAACTCACATCAGGGCCATAAATCAGAAATATACGGTAAAGGGATGGGTGGGAATACTCAATCCAGTATGAGAACAGTTAAAGCCTGTTAAAAATTTATCCCTAACGGAAAAAATTGATTTGACTGAGATCTCAAGTAAAACAGAATCTGAAAATTCTAACTGAAGGATTCATTTAACTTAAAATTAAAATCACAATGGAAAACAATGGCTTAATAATGAAAACATATGCATCTTTAATTATATACTTACTCTTATAAACATACACTGCTGCTATTCCTTGAGGTATATTCTATTTTATAGAAAACAGTGGTTTCTTAAGACACAATCTTTGTGGGGGAGAGTATAAAAGTAGTAAGTGGTCACTATTATGCTTTTGCCATTTTGAAATTTAGTTATTAGTATATATATTTTTTCTAAAAATAAATTTCTATGATAGGTAAAGTCTTATCATTGTTCAGTTTCCAAAATAATTTCATACATCATTCTGTTTCTCATAGTAAATAACTAGACTAGGTATTATTTACTCCATTATTATTCCATTTGATAGAAGAGAAAGTACATTTCAGAAATGCTTAGATGTTCAAGGCCATAAACCTTCTAGAGGTAAAATCACAACCAGACCTTTTTGTGAATGTGTTCTGTTGGTTTGGGCATCATTTGTATGTCCTGAGATATTCCTGTGTCCTGGGAGATCCCCAAGCTCCTTTTCTGAAGGTTAAACTACTCTTGGGAGACTTTCCTTTCCTTTCCCTACATTCTTGTTTCAGTGGACAAATCTGGAAATATAGGTAGTTTTTCCCCTGGGGGTGACTTTGATATTAAAAGTGAAAACTATATGAGAAGTCCTGAGGTGTAACTATTACTTACAGAGAGAAAAGAATCATTTCAGTTGCAGCTAAGGCATAGAAACAGCCTTATTACATGCACATGTGCGTACACACAAACACATACACAGAAAAGGAGGATTTTCTTAATGGAGTTTTGTTATTTATACAAACAAAAAATATATTGTATTAAATGAAACTGTAAAGAAGTGATTTAAATATCTTAGTAAGTCAGGAATTGAGGTGATTACATTAAACACTTGGGGTAAAGCATCACTGTGGCATGGTAGGCATTAAGTCATATAACAGGAGGCATGAGGCTAAATTTCTGTGTATGCTGGTTTTCTATTTAAATTTTAATTAAATTTGCCTTCTAATTAAATTTTAATGTTTTGGGTTCTTAATTTCCCATTTTTCAAAAACATGGGAAATGTCTCCCACCATGATGATAATAGCTCCCTTGAAATTGCTAGACTGTTAACACCATTTAAGTTCAAAGGCACTTCAAGAAATATGAAGGAAGGTACCACTAGCACTAGACAAATACTCTTAAATTCTAGAGCTTTGAGAAAATATTGAGAAAGATGACCTTATCTTTTGGTACAATATGCACTGTGGAAGGTTTCACTCTTTAAAATCTCTCTTTAGGAGAAGTGAGGGATATAGTTAGGTTGAAGAAATGGAAATGTTCTTCTATTTTATTAAAAAAAAAAAAAAAAAGACTCCATGCCCTAAGGTCTTCAGAAAGTCCCAGATTGGATGTGATCTGTTTGCTTTGAACAAACAGGACACAGTATAGTGAAAATGGTGGACTTTGGAGTCAGACTGTCTCAATTCATAGCTTCACTATTTAATATAAGATTCTCCGTGAAAATTATTTACTTTCTCAGTTTTCGTTTCCTTATCTGTAAAATGGGAATAAGAATCTTAAAGGACAGCACAATGGTGCAGGTCAGATGAGAAAATTAAAGTGAAACATCTATTGTAATGTCAGTCTTGGAGGAATAAAAGCTAAGAAAAAAAGTAATTCTGGGATACCTACTATCAGACAAATACTCTATGAAAGTCTGGGAATATAATGGTGAATAGGATAATGTTCTTAATAAATGTGTGTGCAATTCATTCTTCTTGGAAAAAAAAAGTCCAATAATAGTTGGATCAGGATAAAAATCAAGTATAATAAAAATATTAAAAAGCTATGATAAAAATGACTAGGGATTTTCAAATCTACCCAATTGTATCAAAACTTTCCATTTCTCTGTTATTTTTCTTCCAGCACAGTGATCTGTGAATTTGTGCTTGGTAACACTGCCTTAAATAAACATCATTTGAAAATGTCTCCATATAAATTACTGTAATATGCTCTAGAGTATTTCATACTATATTTGATTTACACATATACCATATCAAGGGATAATACCAGCAATATCATAGGTTATAAGGATTGAATGAGTTATATACAGTAATAAAAACAATGCCTGACACTAGCGACCACTTAATAAATGTTAAGCATTACAATAACTACAATTAAATATTAAACCTGCATTACTTAAATTAGCAATAGTTCTCCGAATTGAGATGGATAAAGAAACCAGAAATCCACAAGGTGGCTCTCAAGGTTTGGTTTTTAAACAGCATAGAGTTGTTTCGTATTTCCAAAGAAATGAAACAAGACTTATGAATACCAACTTGACTTTTCAAAGACTCTCATAAATTCATGATTAATAAATAATTGGAAGGACACAAAGCTGTATAATCTGTACAATAAATGTTATGTAACAAAAGTAAAAAAATATAGAAAATAAATAAATTTTCCATTTCTAAATTGAAAGAGAGTCTGATGTTCAAAACAACTGATATCAGCTTAACATAGAATTTAAAATATCAATATAAAATGGTGAAATTTATAGTACAGTTGCAATTAAATATATTTTACTTGGATAATAAATATAAAAGGGCATAGCACAATGTCTGGCAGCTAGCAGCTGTTCGGTGACCAATCAGTTAAATCTTACATTTTATATACATAAGAAAAATTTAAAGTTATCATTTTATGCCAACAGATTTTTTTTTATTTCATAATTTATTTTCACAGCTTTAAAGCAGGAGTCAGCATACTTTTTCCGCAAAGAAACAGAAAGTAATTTATAGTAGCTATCACAACAACTCTATTCTTCTCCGGTAGTGCAAAAAAAGTCAGACAATAAATAAATTGGTATGTTTATGTTCTGATAAAACTTTAATTATAAAACAGGTAGACACCTTTGGCCTGAAGATGTCTTGATCTAAATAATTACCTGATATAGTTAAGTAAAATAAAATCTGATATAAATCTTAAGATACTACCAATACTGAAATTACCAGGAGGAGTGCTTCTTAAACTGTAATGTGTACAAAATCCCCTGAGGATCTAGTTAAAATGTAGATTCTGGTTTGGTGAGTCTGGGTTGGGGCCTAAAGGTCTCCCTTTTTAACAAGGATGCAGGTGATCCCAAGACCTTTTTGTCCTTTGAGCATATGTACACTGAATAACAAGGCAGCTGTTTACAAACTTTTTGGCTCAGAATTCCTTTACATTGCTTAAAAAAAAAAAAAGCCTTACTTATTTAGGTTATGTCTATCAATATTAACCTTAGAAATCAAAACTGAGAAATTTTTAAAAAGTATTAATTCTTTAGAAGTACAATAATAAACCCACTAGATGTTAACATAGGATATGAAATTTAACTGCATTTTATATTTTAACTATATTTTAAAGAGCAGGACTAAACACTTCAATTATAACCATATAGAAAGGAATGATAAGTGTTATGTCATACAGTGAAACCTTTTAATAAAAGATCATTAAGTCAAGAAAAAAGTCAAGATTACAACATCATAAATCTGTAAAATTAACTTCTTGGAATTTGAGACTGTGGATCTTTCACATATAAAATACCTGGGATATGTGGCATGTTACCTGCTTTAGTTCTTGTCCTATTTGTTCCTTACCTGTTTTTCTGCAAGTACATAGTCATGTCCTTGGGTAGGAGAAAAGAAGGGAATATGGCCACAATTTTTTGCTCTTTCTATTAGAGACATAGCTGTTCTTACAGTGGCATTTCGAGCATGTACAAACACCATCACCTGAAAAGAAGGAAAGCTGTTTATTTACTATTCCAATTAATTAAATTATAGCTTAATAGTAGCCTGGATATCATTCCATATAAACAACTATTAATTTCTCAAAACAAAATCACAAATTTATGAATTCTCCAATATCTCCTTATTTTAGAACAAAGTGTATAAAGGAAAAAGGCAAGTTAAATAAAATTCAGCTTACCAGTTGATAGACATTTGTGGAGTCTATAAAATTTGGAGTTTAATTTGTATGTTTCTCTTTTGAATACATAATTTATTATCATAGTCACTTATTATAGAGACAGCATAAAAAATATTTGAGAGTTTTCTCACTGGAAGATTACTACATTCAGTGAAATTTCCAATTTCATAAAGATGTTTCAAGAAATTGAAAACAATAAAGAAAACTCTTCCTTGGACAAAATCATGTCTAAGAACAATCACTTAAAATACAAAGGTTAGGGGACTGCTGGAGATAAAAATGCTTCTATAGAAGTACCTGGAATTCTCTGTGCGGCAAACCTTCCTGTGGAATTATTCATGAAGTGACTGAGGATATCTGAATTACAGGGAAGGTACGTGTCTGAATGCTGTGTCAAGGAGAAATGGGGAAAAAAATGCATCTTCAGGGATAGTCACCAGGCACGGTGTGAATACAACTGAAGAGAATTAGGGAGTGTTTAGCAGCTTGCCTTTGCTGCTTGTCAGTACCTGCCTTCTTTTCTCTGTAAGTTTCTTCTTTGGCCTCTACCTTCCATCACAATCAGCTCAACCCCAGCATTCCCAAAGAGCCATTAGTATGATAAAAATTATTTTTTTCATATAGACTACTGCTCTTTTTCAATTTTATCTGGTGTGAATAAAAGCAACTTTACACAACTTTAACACTGTTAACAATCTGGAATATACAATCTGAAGATATTAAGTGTGGGTGCAGTAAATGACTTAAAGAAACGTTTCCCTAGCCCCTGCTTTCAACTAAACTCACATATCTAAATCTCTGGAATCACTAAAGTATTCTGCTTAGGCCTCAAGCAACTCGGAGGTTCTAATCTTTGACCCTCTTCTCAATATCTCCCCTATACTACTCTGTTAATTACATTTTTCTGGAAGCTAAAACTTTCATGTTTTTTGCAGGCTACACATTTATGAGGATATTCAAAGATTGTATCTAGTCAGGGAATTGATAGGTTCATGTGAGCTGACCTAAGTAAAAGAAAAGATCATTTTGAGGGCTAACAAAAATGAAAAGCAAAGAGGTTTGGGATTTGACCAGAAAGGAGATAGGGTGACACAAAGGTATCTATACCTCCATAGAGGTATCTCTATATTTAAACCATAATAACCTTATGTCTACAAACTTGTCAAGGTAAGTGTTCCACATATAAGATGCTTATTAAAATTCACAGTAAAATCTCAGATAACAATCATTCAAGAAACTGGAATTCTTAAATAACTAATATTATTTTAGGTACATTCAAAGTAAAGGAGAACAGATAATTTGGAGAAGATAAGAAGTTCCTCAAAATGAAACAAAACAAAAAAACCCCAAAATGTTTACAGAAAAACAAAAAGCACTGCAAGTCATCAGGAGAAATTTAATCAGCTAATTACAGTTACCAAAGGCATAAACCTTGAGATTTCATACTTTATCAGAGCTTCAACTTATTTACTGATACTAATATGTTTTGAAAAGAAATATGATAATAAGACTATTTTAAGGCTAGGCATGGCAGCTCACACCTGTAATCCCAGCACTTTGGGAGGCCAAGGCGGGTGGATCACAAGGCCAAGAGATTGAGACCGTCGTGGCCAACATGGTAAAACCCCGTCTCTACTAAAAATACAAAAATTAGCTGGGCATGGTGGTGCGTGCCTGTAATCTCAGCTACTCAGGAGGCTGAGGCAGGAGAATCACTTGAACATGGGAGGCGGAGGTTGCAGTGAGCCGGGATGATGCCACTGCACTCCAGCCTGGCAACAGAGAGAGACTGTCTCAAAAAAAAAAAAAAAAAAAGAAAGAAAGAAAGAAAAAGAATATTTTAAAAAGACTACACTAGTAGAATTTATTTCAGAAAGTTTTGCAGGTACTGGGACATTCTGTTTTCCTTATTTTTCAACTAAGGAAAACAAATCTCTTGATTTTTGATAGGCTCTCTAGGCTTTCATGGGTAAACATCTTTACTTCATAGGATGTTATGAACTGCCACATAGGTTCAAATTGTGATATTTTCATAATGACTGATATACACTATTTAATGCTAAGATAGAAAATTCTGTCCTGCTGAAGATTCATCAGTTTCAGAATTTGTCAAATTCTATCATTCTATCTCTTACAAATGGTAGGGACATTTCCACTGTAAGTTTCTTCTTAAAGAGCAAGGCAGATTTTTTTTTTCTCTTCTATAAAAATAAATTTTACCACCCAGAAAACCTCATTAACCCCCAAATTAAATTTTAAGAAAACTGAAATTAAAATGAAGTTATTCCTTATTTTGTTAATTCATTCGTCATTCATTCATTCATATGCTTCTGAACATGCATTAGCTAGTAAGTTCTAATAAAACTACCATGAAAATGAGAGACAAAGCCCCTGTCCTCATGGAGATGAGAATCTAGTATGTTGAATTAAATAATCACAAAATATTTTTTACTTGATAAATATTTAGTAGGCATGTATGTGTAAAAAAGAGTTAAAAATAGAGATGAAAATAGACAAGATGTGGTCCCTTCTACGAAAAACCTGTATAATTTAAGGAGAAAGATAACATTGTACACATAACTTAGGCAGCTGAACCAAAGAGAAGATAACATGTGGATAACGTGGGAACCCTAAACATGGAGCTACTTGGTTTTCTTCATTCATCCATCCCAAGATACTTACGCAGTTCCTACTATGTGCCAAATACTGTACCAAGTGCTTAGTACAGCACCAGGGATACTATGATAACTACGTTGCAAAGATCTAAATGCATACGATACTGTTATGGGGAGAAAATTCTCTGATAATCATTCCTATCATTCCAAGGTTAAAGTTGCATAAAGGAGGCTACAGTAGTATTTGGAATATTTAATTTTGTTATTTTTAGTGTGTTAGCTTGAAGGAGTACATTCTCTTGTAAAGTTTCTCACAGTGAGACCTAGGGACTACTACATCCAAATCACTGCTGCTGCTTATTAAAATAGATTTCTGGGTCCTCCTTTAAAGCCAGCTGAGTAAGAAAATCTAACGGAGTGATCTAGAAATTGAATTATTAACAACAACTGAAATGACCACAGCACTACTGTATGAAATTGGTTAATAATTACTACCAACTTAATTTTCCCCTCTGAAGCTGAAAGAGGATTAAAAGGTAAAATAAAACCATGATTACAAAGATGTTTTAAGAATCCCCCTAATAATATCTTTATTTACCTATACATATGAAATATCAGGAAATTTTAAGGTATTTTATATAACCAATATAGCACCAACATTATTTCCCAGATGGGCCAGAGTTTTATAATGCTACCAGATTTCCATTCTCCATAATTCAAATGCCACATTATGTAAATCTTGTTGAATTAGCAGATATGGAGAACATAAGGGAAAACAAAATACGACCTAAATCTTCATTAATTATTTCAGTCTTACTTGTCAACTTTTCATTTTGCAAATTATTTTCTACTGCAGCCAAGAGAAATATTAGTTACAACTTAAAGTAACAATTTCTTTTTATTAAAGGATCCATCATGTCAGTGTTAAGTAAAATAAATTTTTTTTTAAAATTAAAAATTTCATGTGTTGAAGCTCCAACTGAAGTCATTACAAGGTTTTGGGTCTCTATAAACACATCTGATTTTATGGTTTTCTAATTTGGTTAATTAACTTAAATAGACTCATATGAAAATTACAAGTAATAGGACAGCATTGTTTCATTTGACAGAAATAACTCCAAATTAATATTAGAAATACTTTTTGGTAACTGAGCAGCAGTTAAATTGGTGTGTGTCATTAAAATAAGAACAGAATAGTAAGATTAAGTCAATAATGATGGCAAATTTAGATTGTTTTATGAAACTGTTAATACTTTTATTTGAGTTTTTAGGTTATGCATTTAAAAGTATTTTATATACTTATTTTTAGTTTCAAAAGGCATTTTTCCTATTGTTTTATTTTTATTATGGAAAAGTTCACATAGAAACAAAAGTAGGCAGAATGTGGTCATAAACTGCAAAAGCCATTTATTTTTAAAATATATGATGGAAGCATGCCTGTACTTGGGGAAAAAAAGTAAGTAAATTTGAGTTCTGGTCCTGTTAGTTGACCTGTCAAAGAAAGTGTTCTTCACATGAGATACTGATTAAAATTAATAAAGGAGTAAAAGCTCAGAAAATAATGATTCAAAAAACTGGAATGCTTAAGTAACACATACTGTTTTAGGATGTATTCAAAGGAAAGATGGACATATTATTTGAAAAAGATTTGAAAATTCTTCTTTGGAGTACTGCTAAATATCAGTGTGAGTTAGAATAAATTATTTAACCTCTTCAATTCTTATTTCCCCCAGAACACACATAAAGAGTTACAATCTATCACAGGATTACTATAAGAATCAAAGGATTAATGTAAGGGAAAACACTGTGTTTAGTAAAATGGTGGTTCTAAAATTTTAGAAAGCTTCAAAATCACCTGGCAGGCTTGTTAAAAACACAGATTGTTGCTCTTTCTCCCAATACCCTTCCTGACTATATAGGTCTGGGGCAACCCACGAAACTGCATTTCTAAGGAGTTCAAAGATGCTAATATTCTTGTCTAGGAACTTTGAGAACCTGTGTCACAGCTGGTAAGTATTAGCACCATTATTAGGGGAATAAACATAAACAAAATTAATCTTGCCTAAAAGATTAAACGGACCAGTATGCAACTGTTATACACTGACCACCATGCACCTATTTTTTACTCATTTACATGCATACGTGCATGTGTGTATGTGTATTTAACACTACACAAAACAATTTAAAAC